GTGAGAAAGTGGGAGAGAGAGGGAGAGAGAGAAAGTGGAGGATGTGGGAGAGAGAGAGAGCGTGAGAAAGTGGGAGAGAGAGAGAGAGAGAGAGTCAGAAAATGGGGGAGAGAGAGTGATAAAGTGAGAGAGAGAGTGAGAAAGTGGGAGAAAGGGAGAGAGTGAGAAAGTGGGGGATGTGGGAGAGAGAGAGAGAGTGAGAGAGTAGGAAAGTGTGGGAGAGAGGAAGAGTGAGAAAGTGGGAGAGAGAGAGAGAGTGAGAAAATGGGGGAGAGAGAGTGAGAAAATGGTGGAGAGAGAGTGATAAGGTGGGAGAGAGAGAGAGAGAGAGAGTGATAAAATGGGAGGGAAAGAGAGTGATAAAGTGGGGGAGAGAGAGTGAGTAAATGGGAGAGAGAATATGGAAATAAAACAAGAGAGTGAGAAAACACTATGAGAAAAAAGAGAGTAATTGAGAGCACGACATGAGGAAAATGAGAGAAAATGAGAACATGACATGGCGATGGCTATCGTATTAAAAAAAATGAGAGCGTAGTATGAGGAAACTGGATTTATAATTTATAATCTGATTTTTTTTTCGATTTCATCTTTATATGAATATTAATTGTTTATTTCTTTTCTTATTTCCTTTTTTTTCATTTCACCATTTTCGTTTTAACTAAGTGAATTAATTAATAATTAGATTTCCTTTTTATATTTAATTTTTTTCGATTTCATATATATAAGAAAATTAGCTGTTTATCTTTTTTTTCATTTCACCTATTTTGAAGCTTTCATTTGATTTCATTTTAATTGGCACTTTGATATTATAAACTGACTTTCATCTCATTCCCCGCTGTCTATTAACCTCACCGAAGAAAACGAGAAAACGGTAATATTGACCAAGAGAAAAATCTAAATACAGACAAACAGGATTAAAAAAAACAACTGATAATAAAATAAATGCTAAACAAAGCAAACATAAAAATAAACATAAGCATAAACAACAACAGAAACAATAAAACTCTAACAATGATAATTCTAAAAACAGACAAAATAAGCTAAAAACAAATAAATACAGAAAATAGATAAACAACTAAACATGGAAATAAAACACAAACTTGCCCCAGTCTCGAGTAGTTGAGTGCGTGTGCGTGTGAATGAGTGAATCAATGAATGAGTGAGTGAATGAGTGTGTGTGTGTGTGTGAGTGTGTGTGTGTGAGCGTGTGTGTGTGAGTGTGTATGTGTGTGTGTGTGTGTGTGTGTGTGTGTGTGTGTGTGTGTGTGTGTGTGTGTGTGTGTGTGTGTGAGTGAAGGAATGAGTGAGCTAAGGAGTGAGTGATTGAATGAGTAAATAAATGAGTGTGCGAGTGAATGGGTGAGTAAATGAACGAATAAGTGAGTGAATGCGTGAGTAGATTTTAATGATCTGAGCACGACTGGGCGGATAAGAGAGCGTGTGAATTATCAATTTAATGAGTGAGTCGATAAAGGAGCGAGTGAGTGAGCGAACGAATAAAACAAGTTAGTAAGCGAGTGAGCGAGTGAGTGAGTGAGTGAGTGAGCGAGTGAATGAGTGAGTGAGTGAATGAGTGAGTAAGTGAGCGAACGAGTGATTTAATGAGCAAGTGATCGAGTGAGCGAGCGAATGAACAAGTGAGTGAACGAATGAGTGAGTATGTGAGTCAGCTGTGTCATGTTTTTAGCGTAATCCATTCCTTTTTCGCGCGGGATTACCGGGAAAATCCGACAATCTCGTAAAAAAGAAGGATTCGTAATGACGTAAACAACGTTCTCTGCCGATTCCTTGTTAGGCTTAGAAGGATAGTGAAAGGTGGGGAGGGGAGGGGAGGGGAGGGGAGGGGACGGGAGGGGTTGGGAAGGGGAGGGGAGGGGAGGGAAGGAGAGGGGAGGGGAGGGGAAGGGAGAGGAAAGGAGGGGTGGAGAGAGGTGAGGTGGGGAGGGGAGGGGAGGGGAGGGGAGGGGAGGGGAGGGAAGGAGAGGGGGAGGGGAGGGGAAGGGAGAGGAAAGGAGGGGTGGAGAGAGGTGAGGTGGGGAGGGGAGGGGAGGGGAGGGGAGGGGAGGGGAGGGGAGGGAAGGAGAGGGGAGGGGAGGGGAAGGGAGAGGAAAGGAGGGGTGGAGAGAGGTGAGGTGGGGAGGGGAGGGGAGGGGGAGGGGAGGGGAGGGGAGGGGAGGGAAGGAGAGGGGAGGGGAGGGGAAGGGAGAGGAAAGGAGGGGTGGAGAGAGGTGAGGTGGGGAGGGGAGGGGAGGGGAGGGGAGGGGAGGGAAGAGGAGGGGTGGAGAGAAGGGGAGGGGGGGCAGGGAAGGGGAGAGGTGGGGAGGGGAGGGGAGGGGGGAGGGGTGGAAAGGGAGAGGGAAGGGGAGGGGGTAGTGGTTAGATAGATAGTAAGATAAAGAGAACACTACTACGTATAAGAATAAGTGGAAATTGATAAATGGATAGATGGACAAAGAGAAGAAGACAGGTAAATGGATAGATGGATAGAGAAAAGAGCATGGAAAGCCCGAAAGAGAATTAGTGAACAGAAAGAGAGAGCGAGAGACAGAAATAGATAGATAGATAGATAGATAGATGGATAGATAGAGAGAGAGTGGGAGAGGGAAAGAAATAAAGAAAAAAAGAAAGAGAGAGACAGAGAGAGAGAGCGAGAGAGAAAGAGAGTGGGAGAGGGAAAAAGAAAGAAAGAAAGAAAGAGAGGGCGAAGGAGAAAGAGAGTGGGAGAGGAAAAAAAAAAGAGCGAGAGGGAGAAGGAGAGTGGGAGAGGGAAAAGCGAGCGACAGAGAGAGACGGACAGCGACCAGTGACTCGAAAACATGAGCGGCGAGTGCAGATGCATAAAAAAATTATGTATTTATGCCACATTGTCTGAATCAGGTTCGGGTTCACCTTGTATTACTTTTTATCTTTCTCTCTCTCTCTCTCTGTCTCTCTTTCCATCCCTCTATCTCTCTCTGTCTCTCTTTCCATCCCTCTCTCTCTCTCTCTGTCTCTCTTTCCATCCCTCTCTCTCTCTCTGTCTCTCTTTCCATCCCTCTCTCTCTCTCTCTGTCTCTCTTTCCATCCCTCTCTCTCTCTCTGTCTGTCTCTCTTTCCATCCCTCTCTCTCTCTCTCTGTCTGTCTCTCTTTCCATCCCTCTCTCTCTCTCTCTCTCTCTTTCCATCCATTTTTTTCTCTCTCTTTTTCCATCCCTCTCTCTCTCTCTCTTTCCATCTCCCCCTCTCTCTCTATCTTTCCATCCCTTCTTCTCTCTCTCTCTTTCTTTCTCTCTGTGTAATTTTTTTTTCTTTATCTCTGTCTCTTTCTATTTTTTTTATCTCTTTGTCTCTTCATTTATCTCTCTTTATATTTGTCATGCTTTATCTCTCTCCTTTAATTTATCTTTCATCATCTCTCTATCTTTCCCTTTCTTGGTCTTTATCTTCACCCCCCCCTCTCTGTCCCTCTCTTCCTGTCTCTTTCTCGCCTTCGCTCTCTCTCTCTCTCTCTCTCGTTATCTCCTCTCTCTCTTTATCTCCTTCTGTCTCTCTTTCTCTCTGTCTCTCTCTCTCTCTCCTTACCTCCTCATCTCTCTCTCTCTTTCTCTCTCTCTCTCTCTCTCTCTCTCTCTCCCTCTTTATCTCCTCTCTCTCTCTCTCTCTCTCTCCGCTCACTTTCATATCCTCCTCGCACAATATAAAGGGGGGAGGGGGGAGTAAAACAGAGGGGGGGCAGGGGGGTGTAGAACAGGTGTGGGGGGGGGGGAGGTAAAGGAGCGTGAGGGAGAGAGAGAGATTGTGTGTGTTCGAGAGTGCGTCAGCGGCCAGGTGTTTCCGTTGGTTTATCTGCGATGTTGAAGCTTTTTTTGTCTTATTTTTGTTAACGTTTTGTTTTATTGGATGTTGATTTTTAGAGGTCTTTTTTTTGTTGGATGTAATTTTTTTTTTTTTTTTGTAAGTCTTTTTCTGTAAACGTACACACACACACACACACACACACACACACACACACACACACACACACACACACACACACACACACACCCGCACACACACACACACACACCCGCACACGTACAAGTACACGCACGCGCACATACACACACACACACACATACACACGGATACGGATATTTTTAGAAGGTTATCGATCTATTTATACTTTAATGAGCTTATCTATCTATTTCTCTATCTGTATATCAACTTATCTACCTATTTGTCTTCTATTTCTCTCCCCCCTCTCCCTCTGTTTATTCTCTGTCTCTCTGTATCTCTCTGTCTCTCTCTGTCTCTCTCTGTCTCTCTCTGTCTCTCTCTGTCTCTCTCTCTCTCTTTCTCCCTCTCTCTCTCTCTCTTTCTCCCTCTCTCTCTCTCTCTCTTTCTCTCTCTCTCTCTCTCTCTTTCTCCCTCTCTCTCTCTCTCTCTCTCTCTCTCTCTCTCTCTCTCTCTCTTTCTCCCTCTCTCTCTCTCTCTTTCTCCCTCTCTCTCTCTCTCTTTCTCCCTCCCTCCCTCTCTCTTGCATACCAACCACTAAAACAAAAACAAAAACAAAAACAAAAAAAATCTAGAACGAAAAACAAAACCTAAAAAAAAAAAAAAAAAAAATCTAGAACGAAAAACAAAACCAAAAAAAAAAAATCTAGAACGAAAAACAAAACCTAAAAAAAAAAATAATAAAAAATAAAAATCTAAAAAAATAAAAAATAAAACCAAACAAACTCGAAAACACTCCCTCTCACATCATCTCCCTTCTCCTCGGGTTCCTCGTCGAGCACGGGAAGGATCTCCTGCTCGGCTTCGGGAATCTCGAAGTTGGCGGTGCTCCCCATGGGCGGCTCGCGGCGGTACTGCTCGGAGGCGAAAGTGTAAGGCAGCTCCTGAGGGTAAACGTCGTCCCAGTACATGTCTTGGACGAGTTCCGGGTGTTCGTTGTGCATCTCGTCCACGATCAGGAAGGAGACCTGGGGGGGGAGGGAGAGAGAGGGAGAGCGTGAGAGAGAGGGTGGGAGAGGGGGGGGGAGAAGGGGGGGTGAGATGGGTTGGGGTATGGGTGGGGGTGAAAGAGGGTGGGTGGGGGTGATGGGTGGGAGTTGGTGAGGGAGGGTGGGTGTTGGTGGGTGATGGAGAGATGGTGGGCGTTTGCGGGAGAGAGAGAGAGGGGGGGAGGTGAGATGGGTGGGATGGGGTGGGGGGGTTGGTGACGGAGAGAGGGCGGGCGTTGTAGGGAGAGAGAGAGAGAGAGAGAGAGAGAGAGAGAGAGAGAGAGAGAGAGAGAGAGAGAGAGAGAGAGAGAGGAGAGAGAGAGAGAGAGACGGAGACAGAGAGAGAGAGAGAGAGAGAGAGAGAGAGAGAGAGAGAGAGAGAGAGAGAGAGAGAGAGAGAGAGAGAGAGAGAGAGAGACAGAGAGAGAGACAGAGAGAGAGAGAGAGAGAGAGAGAGAGAGAGAGAGAGAGAGAGAGAGAGAGAGAGAGAGAGAGAGAGAGAGAGAGAGAGAGAGAGAGAGAGAGAGAGAGAGAGAGAGAGAGAGAGAGAGAGAGAGAGAGAGAGAGAGAGAGAGAGAGAGAGAGGGGGGGGAAGAGGTGAGATGGGTGGGGGTTGGGGTGTGGGTGGGCGATAGAGGGTGGGTGTGGGGGTGAGGGAGGAGGAGTGGGGAGGGTGGGTGGGTATGAGGGAGAGTGAAGGAGTGTGAGTGAATGTGTTGGGGATGGTTTGGGGGTGGGGGAGTGGGGAGGATGATGTAGGCGTAGGTGGTGGTATTGAACATGACTAAAATCACGAAATTGATGAACATCGAAATGAACATTCTAACATCAGGATAACAAGAAAAACATTTACTATAATGGTCACATCCATACCAACAAAGATAAAAAAGCACAGACAAACAAACAAACAAACAAATATATATGCATATACACATATATACAATTAAAAAATAACATAATAACAACAACATCAAAACCCGAATTTCACAAACATTAAATAAACCTAAATTTCACTCATCAACACCACCATCACAATCAAAAACCAACACCCAACAGCACCAATACATCCTCAAGGAACAGAAGGAGGGAAGAACGGAAGACGAGACGATAAATCAAGGTCAAAGAGCAAGGCGAGAAGATCGAGTGGCTGATCGGGAATTGGCGTCGGGCGGTGGATGCTGGGAAAGGGAGTCGATAAAGTGCTTTTGGATGTCTGTTTGTCTCTTGGTTGTTATCTAGTTTTTTATTTATTTATTTTCTTTCTCTCTTTCTCTCTCTTTCTTTTTTTTCTTTTCTTTCTTTCTCTCTCTCTCTTTCTTTCTTTTTCTTTTCTTTCTTTCTTTCTCTCTCTCTCTTTCTTTCTTTCTCTCTCTCTTTCTTTCTCTCTTCCTTTCTCTCTCTCTCTCTCTCACTCTCTCTCTCTCCCACTCTCAATTTTTTTTTCTCTCTCTTTCTTTCTTTCTCTCGCTCTCTCTCCCTCTCTCTCATTCTCTCTCTCTCTCTCTTATTCTCTCTCTCTCTCTCTCTCTCGCTCTCACTTTTTTCTCTCTCTTTCTCTCTTTTTTTTCTCTCTCTTTCTTTTTTTTTCTCTCTCTCTTTCTCTCTCTCTCTCTCTCTCACACACACACACACACACACACACACACACACACACACACACACACACACATATATATATGTATGTATATTTATGTGCGTGTATATTGTGTGTATGTGTGTGTGCAAGCACTGCATGCAAATGTGAATTTAAGAAAATGTCAAGCCACCAAAAGCATTAATGCAAACACGAGTAAACTCAATCCCCGACCTTATTCGCCGCCGCCCAGAATCAAACCACAAAATAAATAAATGCTAATAAGTAAAAAAAAAAAAAAAAAAAAAAAATTAAATTGCTCAACCCCACGAAGTTCCCCGCTCGGCCGCTAGATGTCACCCCCTTGAAAACATGGCTGGTGCGTCGAGCGGGAAAACCCCCTGGAAACTTTACCTGAATATTCCGATCAATGAGCCAGTTGACCTCAAAATCGTCGTCATCCTCGCCGAAAGGGTTGACCAGTGTCTCGGCCACCTTCAGCCAACCCATGTAGAAGAAAAACTGCAGCAGGGTGAAGACGGGGAAGTAAAAATCGATGTGGTTGTTGGGGTATTTCATGGCCGGGTCAAGGAACTGGCGGCCCATCAGTGTTGCCAGAAAGAAGGAGTAGACGGCCAGAGTCACGACCTGCGGGCGGGCGGGCGGAGGGACTGGTAACACTTTTTGAAAATCATTATTATCATTATTATTATTATTATTATTATCATTATTATTATTATTATTATTATCATTATCAGTATTACAATTACTATCATTATTATTATTATTATTATTATCAATATTATCATTATCATTATAATTATTATTGTTATTATTATTATTATTATTATTACTATTATTATTATCATTATCATCGTTGTCATTATTATTATCATTATCATCGTTATCATTATTATTATCATTATCATCGTTATCATTATCATTATCATTATCATCGTTATCATTATTATTATCATTATCATCGTTATCATTATTATTATCATTATCATCGTTATCATTATTATTATCATTATCATCGCTATCATTATTATTATCATTATCATCGTTATCATTATTATTATCCTTATCATTATCATCATCATCATCATCATCATCATCATCATTATTATTATTATTATCACTATCATTATTATTTATTTATTTATCAATGAGGTATCAGAAAATATTGATGTTTAGAGTTATGGAAAATAGAAGAATTGATTAGCTTTCCGAAAATTAATAGTTTTATTTCATTAAATTGTTTTTTTCCCGCTCTTGTCCGTAGCTTTTACTTGATTTATTTAACGTCATTTTATCTTCGTAATTGTAGATGAATCTGGTAAATATTAATGAAAAGAAAAAGGAAGTAAACAAAAATACGAAAGAAATAAAGACGAAAAGGTAAAAATAGACAAAAAAAAAACGGAAATAAGGAGGGAGAGGATAAAAACAAAAACAAACAGAAAACAGAAAAAACACATACTAACAAACAAACGAAAAAAACAAAAACGAATAAAAAAACACGAAAAAAAAGATAAAACGAACGAAATTCTGAAGGAAAATGGAGGAGAAAAACACACAGCACGCGCAGGTATTTCCTCGTACTATGAAACTGTACACTCTTGGCCCCGGGATCATGGGCGAACCCTGCTTAAATGCGCGTCCGTGTGCGTAGGCTAGAGGGGGGGGGGGTGTGGGGGGAGTGTGTGTGGGTACATTTTTGTGGGGGGGGGGTATATGTGTGTGTGTGTGTGTGTGTGTGTGTGTGTGTGTGTGTGTGTATGTGTGTGTTTGTGTGTGTGTGTCTGTGTGTGTGTGGGTGTATGTGTATGTATGTGTGTGTCCTTTATTATTTTTTAATGGAACTCACCATAGAATCATATATCAACCGATGCACAAATCTAACAACACTTTAACACTTTACAAACGAAACAAAAGTTTTTTTTTTAAATACCTATCAAACCATCCACTTACATATATACTTAAAAAAAAAACTAAATCACTAAAAAAATATCAAACATTTAAATACCAGCGTCACTGACTGAAATGATGTCAATATCCAATAGCAATAATAATAATAATAATAACAATAATAATTATAATAACAATGATAATAATAATAATAATAACAATAATAATTATAATAACAATGATAATAATAATAATAATAACAATAATAATGATAATAATGATAATGATAATAATAATAATAATAATAATAATAATGAAAATAATGAAGTTAGTGTAAATTGAAGTGAAGGCAAGTGGAGTTACTGAAATTGTGGGGATAAAATATAATCGAAGATATAAAATACATTAAAACTTATGATAAAGCTGAGGAGAAAGATAATTGAAGATAACTTAGAGGCGTCTTATACAAAAGGTAATTATAAGTTAATGAGTTAATGATGATGCCATTTTCACATTGTAGGTATGCGAAAGGAGGGAGAGGGAGAGGGAGAGGAAGAAGTAGAGAAGAAAAAGGTTTTGAGAAATGGGGGAGGGAGGGAGGGAGGGAGGGAGGGAGGGAGGGAGGGGGTAGAATAATTTTCCTCCCTTATTCCTCCCTTATTCCAAGGCCTCCCCTTCTCCTTACCCCAACCCCCCTCTCCCCTTACCCCACCCCCTCTCCCCTCACCCCAATCCCCCCTCCCCTCCCCTTACCCTTCTCCTTACCCCACCCCCCCCTCCTCTCCCCTTACCTTTCTCCTTACCCCACCCCCTCTCCCCTCACCCCAACCCCCCCTCCCTCCCCCTTACCCACTGGCTCTTCCACCTGATTTACCTTTCCGCCTCCCTTTACTTACCTTACGTCCGTCCTTCCCCATTACTTCCCTTTCCTCATTATCCCTACCCTTTTCTCATCGTTCGTTTCCTCCCTCCCTATCTCCGTCTCTTCCCCTTCGCCTATTCCCTTAATTTCACCCTCCTCCTCTCTCTCCTCATTCTTCTCTCTTCTCCATTCCTCCCTTTTTCCTCCTCTTCACTCCCTATTTCGCCCCATCTTCCTTCCTTCCTCCTCCTCCGCCCTTTCACTGCCCCGTCCTTCCTCTCTTCCTATATTACTTCCTCCTATCTCTTTCCTCATCCTCTCCCTTCTCTGTTCCTTCTCCTCCTTCCTTCCTTATCACCCTATCCTCCTTCTCTTCCTTCTTTCCCATCTGTCAGCTAGCCCCTCCCTCTTCCCCATCCTCTTTTCACTCCCTCACTCGCTTCCCCCAATCCTCTGCCCTTCCCCCCTTCCTCCCCCCTCCCCCTCCTCCCTCTTTCCCTTCTACCAACCCCTCTCTCTTCCCCCTCTCTCCCTCTTCTCAATTTTCTCCTTCCACTTCCTTACCTCCCCCATCCTTATTCTCCCCCTCCCACCCCATCTACCAAACCCCACCCTCCCTCCCCATCTCTCCCCCCAACCCCAACCCCTATCACCCCCACCCCCATCCCACTCCCTCCTCTACCCACTCCCTCC